TTCTAGTGTAGTGGTGAAGCGAGAAACACACAATGCGTCAATGACTTTCTTCTGTCAGACTGGAATGGATGGCAGTGCAACTTGCCACGTTCCGTATCGAAAATAAACAAGTCCTCCTTTATTGGTTCATCCACATGCATCACGCTAATCTCAAAGGCTTCTAAGATTCCTATGCTTAGAATTGTTATCAGATTTTCTCCTGAAAACGTCCTTTGTTTTTAGTCCTAGCAGTAAGCGACAAAAACATCAAGAGTGACAGGGAAATTCGTTACCGAGTTAATGCTTAGCATCGCTGGTTTAAATTCGCCTGTTTCAAACGCTTTGGTGATTCGCAAGAGTTATCTCCCTGTAAACACAAACCTTACCTTAAAGCGTACAAATAAATTTACATTTTTGATTGATTGAGCGTATGCTGTTTTACGTCCTATTCGATATTTTTTTTTACTTGTGGTGTTTTGTAATTGTTAAATTTCCGATTATTTACACCCCGATAAAAAATAAAACAGATGTCATATTTCTTAATTATATAAATTGATATAAATAATTAAGGAACAAAAAGACTATGTATCTTTATAATCATATTCAAAATTCGTATTATCTCAACGAAATAGCTTTTTTTTCATAAGAAAAATTTTTTTTTTTCAAAATCATATCAATATCAGTAATCTACTGTTTCTCTGATCACTCATATTGATATGTTTTTGAAATATATCTTTTTTCTTATGAAAAAAGCAATTGCGTTGAGATATATGTTAAGATTAGATATCGATATTTACACCATTTAATCATGTTTATATTATTTTCCTTAAAAAGGGATCAAAATATAAGGCCTATTTTACTGTTGTTAATATAAATATATGTACTAACCGACAATATTTAATACATACAATCTACTGAGATGTCCCTTATTGTCAAAAAATGAAGAAATTGATTTAAGAGGTCATGTTTATACACTAACAGAAATGGACGCCAAACATTACAAAGATGGAAGCCAGATGTAACATAATGCCTTTGGAAATGTTATTTTGTTAGAAGATTCAAGCCGCATTCCATTGTACAAAGCAAAATTAGGAAGAAAATTTTGCAAAATCAAGCAATTGCGGGCGCTCAAATTTCAGTGCTTTGAAAACAAGAATGGGTACGTCAAATTTTGATTTCATGGATGAAGAAATGATTATTAGTTATAATAACAATATAAAATTTCATAGATCGTGGCAGATTTCAATTTGTTGGTGCCTGAATTCCTTGAAAATTACACAAATTTGATCCCCACAAAAACATGATTTCACAGGTATAAACAGAATTATGTGAATAGTTTGCTTTAATGACAGTCACAATAAGATATATTGTAATTTTCAAATGTCACAAAGAGAAAAGCTTGAATATATTTTAAGAGATTTGATTTTTACACTTTACCTTTTGTATAAATGACAAATTATAGATTGTATAATTACAAATTACTTAAACGTTTAATTATTAAGATATATTCCAATGAAACAACAGTATTGCTTATTAATGGGATATAATTTTAAAAACTTATTTATAACTGTTGAAACATTAGAAACTTTTAATTTATCAGCATTTACTATATTGTTACTGACGGTTATATCAATCCATTTATGGCGTATATACCGTTCACATTCTGAAAATTATGTATCAATAGTCTGAGATTAAAAAAAAAATATATATTGACATTCCACGTGTATTTTGTGCATAAAGGTTTTGGAAAGTAACGGTATTCAAAACAACAAAACATGACAGGAAGGTCAAAAGGTCATGTTACGATTTTTATTTTGACTTCAAAAAAAGGTTAACGCCGTACAATTTTCAAGCTATCATTAAAGAAGTTAATCTTTGTTATTGTTGCAATGAATTATCAATCAAATCTACTTCAACCGAAGTATGATTCAGATATTTAGAAAAAAGAAGTCCCATAGCAGACAGGACAGTGGTTTCAATTGTTAATGCAACATTAACCTTTAGCTAACAGGCCTTATTTTATATATTGGCATATATTATTACCTTACTTGATATGTAAATTGTAATTAAGCATTTTGAACTGTTTTACGATTCATTTTATGCTTTTGCGTGATCATGAAACAGTCGAACTGTTGACCGGGCCACAGAATTAACTGTTGCCTGGCTGAAATATCCATTATGACGCCATAATCAATTTCCCGTACTTTACAGCTATATTACATTGAATTATGTATAAAATAAAGCAATTTAATGGCATTCAATTTGAAAATATCATCTGAAAAGTAATCCTGATACATGTATCCTTATAGATATATGTTTAATTTAATATCACTTCAAAGAAGAGGCCAAGAACACTTTTTCTGAAGGTAGTTTAGGGAAAAATGTAGGACCCTTCATTCATTATAGATCTTTGCGTTAAAACTCCAACTCAGCATGTTATATTCAAACCTTCAAGATATTATTATGTTGTTTACAAATGAGGCACTGATAAATTGATATTTTATTAATGTATTGTTTTTAAACCAATCGGCGTGAGAATTTGATTAGTCATTTGTTCAGTTTGATTTCAAGAAATAAAAAAGGCCGATTTATTCTAAAATCCATTGATTATTATGTCTATGTTATCATTTTAAGAAATTATATAGTAGGTTAGGTAATAAAACACTTATTTTATGACAACTCGGAAAACAGTCAAACTGTTGATAATGGGGAAGACCTGGGAAACCGTTGACAGAGGCTGAAGGCAAAGAGCTTGAGTCAGAAAGTACACAAATTCGCCTGTTTTCAAAATAGGACAATTTAGCCTCTAGATATATCTCCAGACTATATGTTTTTTTTCAAACCAACTTTCTTTTTTCAATATGTCTTCCATATTTTTCGTAAGAGATCTTCAAAATAGCATATGTATATGGCCGAATTTCGTACATTTTACGGAACGTCATAATGACGAAGTGAATTTTAACACTTCTGAGTTCTCATAAATAAAGTGGTAAATAATTATTAATTGATGAGAATTTCACAAAAATGTATTTTACAATATATTACAGATATTTTGTTAATAAAAGATAACTTAATTTGAAATTATAAGGTCGGGTGTAAAACAAGCATAGGTACATGTACAAGTAAAAATGACAGCGTGTCCGTTCAGCACCCGTGTGTTTATCGCGGTACACGTAAATAATTAGATCTATACATTGTAACGTTTCATTATTGACATTGATAATGTTATAAAATAATAATTTCATTAAAAAATTACATAAACTTTAATTTATGCATTTGATATTCTAATCAACCTGTATATATATAAAGCCAAGCCCAGGAACGTAGCAACCCGGGGATGTTAAATGTTAAAATAAAAATAGTACTGGTCACACAATTAATTGCGCCCATAGGAGAAGGGCCCTTTTTAGCAATTTTTATGCATTTTGAGTTTTTCACGGATTTTGATAGAGTAAGGTTAAAAGTTGTCAAATATGATTTTTTTTTTATCTTGAATTATTCCTTACATCCAGTCTATCGCAATATCACAATTTTATTTAGGGACGGTCTGCCTTGAAAAACTTCTATGACAAAATTATTTTCTTAATGTCACTTTTTCGTTTTTTTTTTTCGTTTTTTTTTTTTTATTTTTGTGAAAACACCCAATGATGAGCGATGTTGGAAACTACTTTTTTACCATTCTTTTTATAACATATGTCATAAATATTCATACATCAAACACAAAACAGAAACATTTCCTCCTTTTGGAGATTATTCTGATAATAAATCGATAAATTTATTATTTATATATAAAGGCCGGCTAAATATTACAGTATTGCTATATTACATATGTTGCCTTTTCAACAGGATGCTTATAGACACCTCCAACCCTAAAGCATACACATGGAGGCCACATGCAGACTTTGGCTGACATATTTGAAAATCACGATTTTATGAATATATTGGGCCATTTACTAAGAATAATTTTTAAAAAGCATAATCTACATATTATTGAAATATTAGTGGACCTCTCTCTCATTTTCGTGCGCTCTCTCTTGAACATGCTGACTACCTTTAAATATTCAGACTAAATGAAAAATATCAATGCCTGAGCAGAATATAACCATAAAGCCCTTTTTACAAAAATTCTTACGACTAAGATTAAAATTTCCAAGTTTTTTATATGTATCTAGATTTAATATAGTAACTTCCAAAAAAAAAATGGTATTTCTAATACATGGAAGTATATTGTGAATTATTTTTTATATATAAAAAATTTCTTCATTAACCATTGAAATTACAGAGTCATCAAATTTTAATCGGAGTCATAAGAATTTCTGTGAAAAGATAACCTGTAGACATTTACAAGTAAATCGCTCGCGATCTACCCGATGCGCGATGTAGTTTATGTAACACACAGAATATATATTGAAGCCTATGTACTTTAAATAGTAATAATTTTATTTATTTAAATTTTTCAAAAATTGATATTTTTTGAACATCTAGAGTAATTATTGGTATACATTCACCACGAGTATACAAAAAATTTTGAAGTTCCCTAAAAACTTTGACGTCATTTTCTGTACATTGTGACGTCACGAGAAAATATTTACGACTTGTCAAATGTTGAGAGAAAAAAAAAGCAAATAAGCCTTATGTTTATAACCTGGCCACTTTGGAGGATTTCTGTTAAACAGTGGTCCACAATAGACATGCAGATGTGGAGAGCATAGACTAACGCGAAAACATTTCTTCATTTTTTAAAATGTTTTAATTGAACTCAGAACTAGGCTATATTAGAATCTGTTTAGCCTACCCTTTTTACCACGCATAAATAATACATTTATGCTAAAACGGATTTATGGTTGTGTATACATAATTTACAGTAACCTTTCTTATGAAAGATGAAAGAACCACAAATAGTTTTCAAGAAAACGATGATTTATTTTCACAGGCCGTATATTGTACTTTCTGACTTTTGTTCTTTTCCTTGCTATACTCTTACCGTAAACCTCAACTTCGCAGAGCTCATTGAAGGCGGATCGAGAATATTCCGCAGGGTAGGTAACTCCTGGGAGTCTCTCATTGTAGTAGATGACGTAACGTCCATGTGTTACACATTCTATGGTTACATTATCCGGCATTGTGGCCCTTGTGTACTTTGTATCCTTAAAACATAGAATCCCCTCGTCTTTGTTGGTCGTGTTTGATACGTAAAGAGAGAATCCAAGGAATCGGGGTATGTGTCCGTTCCTTGCGTCTGTTGAAACATTAAAAGAATTTACCTCTTTTGCAATTGTTTTGTAAAACAATTTTTGATTGGTTTGAAGCGGTAAAACGAGCATTAACGTGGCAGGAAGCTTTTCATCGTGACGTCATACTAAAGCGCCGCAAAAAAACAATTTTATACAATGAAACTCAACATAATAAGACGTAAACAACAAACAAAATGCATGGATTGCATTAAAATGCATCAGAGTGATTAATTTAAATATCCGAATGCAATTAAGTTTGGAATATTTTGGAACGAAATTGAGAAAAGAAGATAATTACTGAGCAATACTTTTCTTATGCTGTTTGCTTTAGATGGCATTAAAGTTATAATATCTTTGATTTTTAATGAATTTCTTTGAAAAATAAAATTATTTAATGGGAACACTAGTGACATGACACCCACAGAAACAATAAAGGAAATGAAAGATTACAAAGCTAACGTCGACGTATTAACCAGTCTAAGTTATGTTAATTTCGCATCAATTTTTTTATACACACTGTAGTAAGTTTTTACTTTACCCCATACTATATTATCCGTCCTGTAGTATATCGTTATATGGTGTATACTGAGAACGTCTCCTAAATCTACCCGCCAGGTTGCTGTTGTTTTAAAATTGTCAGAGATCGTACACTGTCCTCCTTGGGCTGTCCGGATAGAATACTTCCCATCCACCGCTTTATCTGCTCCCCAGTTTACTTTAGAAAAATGGATACTGTTGCCATGCAGGCTTACCTAATGCAACGTTGTCTGTAAATAAAAATAATCCATATAGTCGGTGCATTTTTATCGTTTGGTACATACTTTTTAAAAATAGTAATGAACTCAGCATAGCTACAGTTGAAATTTATAATTTCTTTGAAGTTTCAGTAAGTTTCTACTAGCCATTTTCGACGAAACTTGCAGGACAAAATCATTAGGAATAAAGGTCATGTGACATAACTTTTCTTGCATTAATCTTAATTACGGACGAACATCCTTTTCTAAAAAAATTTTTCTTAAGTTTTTTGACATGCCGCATGATTTTTTAAGTTTCAAAACATCTCAGAAATATGAAATCAAAAATATAACCACTTTTTATTAGATTAAATAGCAACATTTGACGCTTTGAAATGCTTGAATAAAGATTGCACATTATTATGAAAATGAGGTTTCACCAGGATCGACACAGCTGCCCTATTGGTAAAAAAAAATAAGTCTCCCCCTCTTATTCAGGTAACCCCCCCCCCCCCAAAAGAAAAAAAAAAGAGGCAACAAAATCAACTTCGTTTGTGGAACATACTAATAACTTTATATTATTGCTTGATAAGTGATATGCTTTACGTAATCAGCATTAAAAACTTAATGCTTGTTTTAAAATATTTATAAAATTATCGTCTTTTTGGTGATTGAATGATAATTGACATGCTGTAGATGTGAGCTATACAGTAGAAACTTTTTGACATTGATAAATTGACAAAAATTAAATAAATATTTCATTAACCATTAAAGCCTATCTGATTCAATCAAATGTTTTCTTTTATTTTCTATACCAAGTTTCCTCAGTTGATAGACTTTCATGAGTATTAAACATTTTCGGTTTCAATAAATTAAATTATTATGAACTTTTTTTTTTGTAATATATGCATGCATAGATACTCATATACCCATAAAGATACTTATGTATGCAGAGATAATGTCAATAGTCATAAGTCAAGATTAAGATTTGTTTTCTCTATGTCAACTTATCTTTACTGAATTTGTAATGATACCAAAATATATTTTCCTAAATATAATTAGAACATACGCAACGTACCTCACCTACTGATAATTTTTCACGATATTCCAAATTTAAAATTACAATACCATTACATGTAGACAAAAAATCAGCGTGTGTTACCAGGGATTTTGAAAATATATAAAATTTTGAAAAATTTTGTACTATTCAAAGAAAAATGCACAACAATTACAAAACATAAATTCCAGAATTTAAAAAAAAAACATGTTTAAGATGAGGTATACAAATCCATATATAGACATTAAAAGTATTGAACAAGGGTCTTCATTAAGTGGAACTGTTCAAATCCAGGTAAGAACCCAGTAAAATTCAAACTACATTGTGTAAGACCCTAAGCAGTTACATATGCTCTTCTGTGTAAATTTACAAGCTTCTCTACACAGATTTGCTGCATAGTTTAGATACAGGGCGAAACTACACTATTAACTCAACTGACAACATACTGTTTGGTCACTGATTGGTCACTGAATCGTCACTGAAATGTGTATGGCAAGGTCTTTAAATGACATACACTTCTCAACCAGTCACCTTTCAAGTCAGAGTTGCAAACTGTGGTAAGGAAAGGAATTCCTACCCATCGACTGAGTTTTCTTAAAATGAACTTACCATACGCAGATGCTACACCTATTGTCGATAGGACAGGAAATTCACAACACAGTAGCCACACTATGAATTCCATGTCGTTTGATACAGAACAATAACAATCCTGGAAAGATGTTTTAACTTGGTTTTAATACCCAGAAGCTAGTTTTGCACATACGATAAAGCATTTACACATTCTAAAAGTGTAATAGACCTATTTAAGTGATATGGTGCGTTTGTTTACTATAAAAACAATCGATGGGCTACCAAAAAAGGAAATATCTGCGGTTTTTGTATGAAAATCGAAAATGTATAACAGTACAGTGATTCAATGTCTCTATTTCACTTAATAGTAACCCGCTCTCTGTTATGACTAGTCGTACAGTCTTTATCTCTAAAACCATTCAAATATATGCGGATAAATATGTTAGAATACACTTCCTGCGAAGCACTTATTTCCAGATAACTGGAAGTGTGTTCTTTTAGAGAGTTTGTATATTCTTTTATAGATACAGTATAAATAGACAATTTATTGACTATCACATCCTAACAGTAAGTGAATTGTTTTATTAGACCAGTGTTTCAGTAAACCATCATTGTACTTTATCAGAAGGGTGCTTCATCTTTAACCGAAATCGCACTCACCCTCTGGTGACCATCCCACTCAAACCTGATAATATCTCCTCCCTTCAAAACTGTTCATAATTGAATATCGCATATAACGAACAGTCATTTGCTATTCTTTTTATACAGATTCCAACAGATAAGTACAAAAATATATCAGATTACTCATTCTGACAAAATACTCCTTTTTCACATATCAAAACGTATGGTGTACCCTGTTATTAATAATTAGCAACACCGTGGAATTCAATATCCACCATAATTCCTTGTTGCTGCAGATTTAGAAATGAATGGAGAACAAGCAGGAAAAATATCATTCTCCCTTTATTCCAAATCATAAAAAAACAGAAAAAAAGGCATTTTGAAATAGATCAGACTACCTAATCCAATATATTTTTTTTCTGAGAACACTTCAATCAACCACAAACAAAGTCTAATGTAATCAATACTTCCTATCAATGCCTGTTGTGTCACGTTTTGTCCACCGTGACGAAATTTCCGCTCTAGCCTTGTCTGCTGCAGCAAAAATTTTGTATTTGTGGGAAATTAAAATTATACATACTGTAGATCACTTAATTTTCGCGACACCTTTTTTTCGCGAGATAGTCATCAACTCTTGATTGGCGAGACAAAATTTTCGCGAATATTCGTTATTGCTCTATATATTCTTTAGGAATATTATTATACGCGAGAATTAAATTTTCGCGAGCACAGTGTCTCGCGTAATTACGCGAAAATAAAGTTCTCGCGAATAAAAAGTGATTTACAGTATTATGAAAATCCTTATGAATGTATTTGCTAATATTCTCTGCGCCTAAAATTCGTCAACCAGGATTCCATCGGATGCTACTCTTAACCAATTATTTATTCCATTTTATCATTTATTTATTTATCATGCATTTTTGCTAAGCATTTTGAACACTTTCTATAAATATTCCATACCAATCTAAAATATTTCTATTTTTTAAACTCTGCAAAACATCAACATTACTTTTAAAAAACTCTCATATCAAATAACCTATCGCCTTCTGGCGTCCGTTCACAATAATATATATTTTTTTGTTCTTAGAGTTAAAAACTGTGACAACAGAACAAAGGGTAAGCCTTGAATATTTCTAACACCATGCCATTGAGTTTTTAAAAAACCGGAAACAATCAAGAGAAATTAAACAAATCTCCATTGATTGATCGAAACAGTGAAATACTAAAAAGAATCGCCAATCCTAATAAAGTATTTTTTTCTTTCTAAAAAGTCGCCGATATTTCCATTTATAACCTCAACTGTTCTGTGTTAATTTTCTAATTGAATTTCGACATTAAAAACGAAGGGAAAGAGACGGTTGTGTGGCTGTCGTAAGCGGGACAGATTTTTAAAAAATAAAAACGCAAAAAATGGACTTGAATGATTTTGCACGGAGAGAGTGGATATTTTCCGTTATTGCGAATTTTCCTTTTCTTTTGGACCTAATTTACGTGTAGATTCTGTATGGGATAAGTTTATAAAAAGTGACTGAGAAATGTTGACATTTGACAGTCAAAATTCATAATAGGAAAACATCAGCACTTACTATTTGTACGTGCTTTTACTTAATTAGATCAGTTTTATTTTTAGACCGTGCTGTATTTTAGACATAGAGTACATTGCGGTGTACAGGGCTTATACAGAACGTAGCTCCGCCCATCATAATCCTGTTCTTTATTATATACCTAATGTGTATCACCCAATTTTACTGTTGAATTTACGCTATCACGTGACGTTGTGATCCGATTTTCCGGATCACCAACATGTTGTTTTCTGAATCCATATCACCACTCTCTGAAACTGATGACGTAGTACGCAGAAATATGACGTTATTTTTCTTGCGCGTTAAAAAGTCCCTTGTTATTATGCTGTGTTTTATGGATAAATGTTATGCAATCGATCTCTAAAGTTTTCTTTTGCTATATTTTGCTAGATATGAGGGGTATATAATAAATTCATCATTATAACAGTAACTTGATCCGAAGAGCCGTATTGCTAATACAGAACAGTAAACTTCAAAGAAAAACACCTCTATCACAATCAAAAATAGAGACAAAAGTTATATGCATGTTTATATACTGATACAGAGAAAAGGTAGTTAAAAAAAATACAAAAAAATAAAAATAACGAAATACGTGTGACGCAAACAGAAAAAAAAAATGTTACAGGCATGTTTACATTTACAGAGATTATATATAAAAAAGAGAAAAATACTCCTTTAATATGAACGAAATAGGAAAATGACATTTAAAATGCTTTAGAAAATGCATAATAAAAATAAATAATACACAGGTACATTTTACGGATATAATTCTTGCTGGATTTGTCTATCCTAGCAAAGTGCCTTTGTATTGCCTGATCAAAGCATTTTTACTCAACTATATACACTTATTTAATGACTACTCGGTAAACAGTCAAAATGTTGTCCCGAGGTCGTGGGGGAGACCTGGGAAACTGTTGCCCGAGGCCGACGGCCGAGGGGGGACAACATTTTGACTGTTTCACCGAGTAGTCATTGAATAAGTGTTTTATTACCTAACCTACTATATAATTAATTAAATTGGAATAAAAACACACAAAAAATTAATAAAAAAGTTTTCACATCTGTTTATCACATACTTGTCTATAAATTAGCTGAATACATAATATAAAGATTAAATTAATAATGTTAATTTAAAGTAATACTTAATAGATTGATTGTTTGTGTGTTTTACTTAAATTTAATTAATTATAGAGCAGGTAAATAGTGATGTCGTGATCATCAAAACACTTGAACATCACGATGACGCTTTAAACAGTCAACAGTTCATTCTGTGGCCCGGTCAACAGTTCACTGTTTCATGATCACGCAAAAACATAAAGTAAACCGTGAAACAGTTCAAAATGCCTAATTATAATTTATATAGTAGGTTAGGTAATAATATGTACTATTGCTATATTTGGTTTAAAAATGTTCAATAACAGTCTCTACTCACAGTAGATTATAATGCTCTATGATGTAAATGAATTACATAAATAAAAATAAATAAATAAACAAAGCACCAAGGATTGTATAGATCATCAAGGGTAAAATTCCTAAATTCCAAAGTCCTCAGATAGAAATACAGACTTGAATGTCCATGTAGAACAAATACAATCTTATTTTTTTTTAATTTAAATGTTAAATTGTGTGCTATAATATCAGAATTCAAAGAGACCATAATGAAACTTTTGACAAAAATAATAACATAGTACACTGTATACACAGAATCCATAGCTCCACACTAATGTAATTTGTCATAATGAGAAGATTGACTTATTTGACTAAGTTCCTGGTATCCTGCGTTGTCTTCCACTTTGTCATAGATCTCTGTTTTAGGCTTGGTGTGTTCTGTAGATGTCTGTTTTGTGTTTTTCTTCTTTTGACACATTCCATTACAAGTCCTCTTTCTACAATTCCTAAAATCAAAAGAGTATTTAATTATGTACATATTAAACATAAAAGATATTTGGTAAATTCTTTTCATTAAACATGTTATATTTGTTTTGGAAAAAGAAGAAACAAAATAAATCTCACCAGATAACGCAAAAAATGTGTAAAACCACGCTTAAGCAAAGTGCAGTCACCACTCCGTAAAGATATGAATAGCACTGACTGTTTGTATTAGCTTCTGGTGATAAAACTGTAATTTTGTGGAAAAAAATACATGTATATTCTTTACATAATAAATTTCTAATTCCATTGAAAAAATTTCATGTCATTTTGTTTCAGTTTGAAAATTTTAAAAAGGTTTTTGAAAAATTAAATTCATGAGATAAACTTTCGAATGAACAATTATGTTGGAACATTGTCCTTTTCACAGAATTATTCTTTTTCAGATTACCCAGACTAAAAATCTACAGAAGGAATGAACATGTTCTGCACAGCTTCAGCAAAATAAAATTGAAAACCGACAAGAAGTAGCAAAATATCACGCAAAAAAGTATAATTCAAAACATTAGACCAAACTTTACTAAATAGTGAAATTAAAATCCTTTCATACAGTTTAAATCTAATTCATAAAATGAAAACCAGCGTCTTTTATTTCAAACTGTCACGCGCTTGTTGAAGGAACATACTCTACCTATTTTTTTTTTTAATTGATTGGCCGGTGTTTGAACCAACATTTATTCGAACACGAAGTGAGCACCCTATAAGGTGAACTACCGTGATGATTATCAATAGGCATAATTAAACGCCTTGGGGTATATATAACAAACAAAAAGAAGAACCAAACAATGTGTGGTTGCTAGTACATACTTTTTAGCTGTCTTTTCGTTTACGAAGATGAGATAAGAAAAAATCAGGTATCAAAATAGTTTAATAACATAGAAAACATAATTTATAACGGTTTCTGTAGTAGACTAAATCAAGAATTCCATTAAGATGACTTATAAATTAAGTAAGAGATATGAAAGTAAACATAAAACAGAAGAAATAACAATCACGTAAAAAGAAAGAATTCAATAAAAAAGTTGTTTATGTAATTACCAAGACATTGTCCAGTTATTGCATCACACCTATTTTCAACTATACAATCGGCGCCACATGTCTCTTGGCAGTTGTATCCATGAAGACCGTTCTGGCAAACTAGAAAAAAATTTCAATTAATATTACACAGAAATATTTATTTTATAAATAAAACATATACTTCGTTGTCGATTGATTTTCGGTGAGTTATATTATTGAGAACACCTATAATATTGTTCATTTTGAAATGGGTATGATATGGACCCTTAAGGGGTTTAATATTTATTTACACCTTTTTATTAACGTTGCGTAGAAAATACTATATGGAAATATTCTATCACATTTTTTTCTTTTTATGTAATCTTCAGTTTACTACCTTGTGTACAATTGTTTCCCTGGTAACCTCTATCACATCCATTCAAGCATGTCCCATTTATGTGATGACATTGTTCTTTATTCAGACAATTCCCGCATGACTGATCACAATTTTGTCCGAATTTACCTCTGTCACATTCTGTAAGAAAAATATAAATGATGCACCGTTATTTACTTACGTGTAAATGTATTGTGATTGGGATGCATTACATCTTTTGTTGGAACTAAGGACGAATCTGATTTTCATATAAAAAAAAAGAAAGGAAAGAAATCACACAAAAGGATATGATACCAATGTTTTTGATAATTATAAATGTTTACATTTGCCATGTTGTTCTAATATGCCAACTTCAAATATAATTGATTTGAAAGAAACTCACACTAAGTAAAGTTATAATAAGGCTACATGAATGTTAAATTTGTGATTTTATTTTTAGGTTAGCTAGAAATTTAATTATTTATGGAATATTTTTGAAGTTGTAAAACATGTAAACTATAAATATAAGGAAGGTTTGTATCTTTTGTGTTAGTCATTTCCACTATTGGCATAAATGATGAAGAAGCAATTAATTGCAAACATTTTATATGGAACAGAATTACTCTTGTCACATCTTATGCCTTCCCAACCCTCCTGACATCCGCCTTGACATTGCCCTGTCACTCTGTTACATCTACTAGGAACTCCACAGTTGATGTTACAAGTGTCTTGGCAATTGTAACCATGCCGACCATCTGGACATACTAAAATGCAAATGCAGATTAATATAAAAAAAAACACATTGTTTCTACTCAAAATAAGATTGCTATACAGATAGCTTATATTTTATGTATTTATTCTTCTCAACTTTATGCTTCTTTAGAGCTTTCTTAAAGACTTTTAAGAGGTTTTATTTTAAAAAAAAATAAGTGTTTCATGAAACTCAAAAAGGCTCTAAATATATATACATGTATGAATTTGCAGAAAAAATAAAACAAAATAATGAAAGATAGAGGTGTTCTACTTAGAATTTTTCAAATCCTTTCAAGATAATAGCCTTTTAAAATTCTTTACCATATATTTCATACGCTGCCTATAGCACTTTGAATAAAATGTATTCAAAACTTAATTCCCATTTAGTACTTCCCTCCTATGAATCTGGATGAAAACGAGCTTCTTTCTTTCTAAATCTAGTTGAATGATAAGTTAGATAGAATAGTGTGTCCTATGTGTATAGAAAACTTCTGCCTACCTTCAAAACATCTTTTTCCCTGAAATCCTCTGTCACATCCATTTAAACATGTCCCATTGATGTGGTGGCATTGGTTGAAATTAAGACATGAACCACAAGAGATATTGCAATCTTTACCGTAACGCCACCCATCGCATTCTGCAAAAAATAAATATTCATCTAATTTCTCTAACGTCTAGCTGCATGTTGAAAATATTCAAAATAGAATGAAATTTACTTTTACAATAATTTGGAATCTAGATAAGAGTAATTGTAAAGATATAATGTAATTTGATGTTAAACATTGACCTTCTACAACATTGTACATGCATCATCTCTATTTTCAAAATTTTTGTATCAATGCTTGTATATTTTTTTTATTATCGAAAGAAATGAGACAGGACAATGCAACCAATAGAGCTATCATCAATAAATTAAGTATAGTGTTTATACATTCATACCAAAAATACCTTTTCATCGTCGAAACGATGACAGTAACCATGCATTAATAAATATAATGACAGGTTTTAGTTAGAATTGAGGAAAAATATAGATTGAAATTAAATAGTACCATTCTCACAAGAGTCTCCCTTCCATCCAGCATTACAACCAGACTCACAGATCCCAGTAATTCTGTTACAGCCTCCTCTACAGTTTGGGCTACAGATCTCGGCACAATTCTTTCCATGTCTGCCATAAGGACACGCTGTCAAAGAAATTTATTAAAGAACTCGTATTAGATCTGTGAAAACATTGTTTTTAAAAGTAAAAATGAAACTATAGAGCGAACCATTTCACAAAAAGCATATCTAAAAATCGTCCTTTCATGGGATCAATTTTCATAAAATGAAAAAAAGAATGTCTTTGAATAATTTTAGCTCTATTTTGGCATTAATTTTAAAAATGTAATATTGTACGACCTGCGAGACTCATTTTAAAATCTTTTGAAACAATGCATAAAGGAAACATGGGCCTATAGAATGAAAGCGATATAATCTCATGTAATTCTATAGTCCCTTAGACCGCTCAAACCGCCCTATGCTCCCTTTCAAAATCTAGCAAATAGAATTTTCCACAGAGATAATGAATAATTTTATCTTTTAAATTGTCTTTTCAATACAGGCCATCAACAATTGTAATATTACTAATCTATAAAACTATATTCTAATCTATATAACTATAAGATACACTGGTAAATAACCTAGTAACTCAGACATCTTATTTAAAAGCTGTAATTATTAAAAAGTAATATGTCACCTTCTTCACATGTATATCCTTGCACCCCAAAGTCACACCCATTCGGACAACTTCCATTCACGTGATTACATTGTTCCCCATTACTACAGTTACCACAGTCCAAACTACACTCAAAGCCATATCTATTATTATCACAACCTGAAAAATAAAAAAGAAATGTGTCCTCTTAAACATACAACTGTGTCAAAATTTTAAAGCATCACGAAACATCAAAGATTAGAGATATAATGAATGATCTATCGAAAAGTTATCTTTTTAAAAGCCTTACAAAGAAAATGAATTTGCTTCTCCCCCCCCCCCCCTCTCGCTCTCTTCAATTATCCCTTTTTAATGATAGTATAAACATACCTTTTCCACATAAGGAACCTTTGTATCCAGCAACACATCCAAGACAGGTTCCATCCACAATGTTACAACGTCTCTCCTGACAATTCTGTGGACACGGTAATGAGCAATTTTCTCCATAAAATCCTGAGGTAGGACATCCTTATTGAAAATTGATGAGTGAATATAAAGAAAGACCCATGAAAGTATATCAATTATAATATTAAAAATTATTTCATGTCAATATGATTTATTTCTTTTTTAAATAGAAATACGTGTACTCAGTAATACAATTGTTTTTATGGTTTTTCTTATATGCCTTTTACAATATTTTTATTTATTTTGTTCGAGTAAAGAAAGCCGAATAATTTTTCAAAATAAGATTGAAATATTTTTTTTTATACTTGTCAGCTTATCGTTTTATCTGAAGCTGCTTAGACATACACAAGTGTTTAACATTTATTTTCTAAAAAAAAGATGTTTAAATGGGATTCTGTGATTTCTTTATATTATAATGAGTCCATACATAGATCAAGCGTTAATTAATTTATTATTGAAAACAAATAATTTCCTTCATTCAGAAGTGAAGCGGACACTTGAGCCAAAATGTAAAACAAATGGATTTAATGAACATCGTCACTCGGGTTTACGTCACATCTTTATGATCTCTCTATTTTTAAAAACAAATCTGACGTTTAACACAGATCCAGTCATATTAATGGACTACATGTGTACTTTTACGATAGGAAAGATTGACCAAGAAATTCTTTGTTTTTCAATAATCAAGAAATAATTTAAAAACATACTAAAATATAAAAACAACTGATAGATTGTGCATTAATGATGATGTAATGATCACTGAAAATCGTCGAATGATTTCTTTAAAAAAAACTTCTGTTTATACTTAGCTGCAAATTTTAGCTTGATGATGTTTAAGATACTTGAAAAAATTACACTGTTGTAAATTCCGTGTATAAAAGCATTATGGTTAAATAAATTGTTTGGTTGTGTCATCTTACCATAGACTTCAACCTCACAGAGTTCGTTGAATGCAAATGTGGAATATCCACCAGGATAGGCAACTCCTTGAAGTCTCTCGTTAAAATAGATGACGTATTTTCCATGTTTTATGCATGTTATTGTAGTAGTATTTGGTAGTGTGGCCGTGGTGTACATGTTGTCTTTAAAACAAAGAATGCCATCGTTTTTGTTGGTTGTGTTCGATATATAAACAGTGAAGCCAAGGACTCTGCTTGTAAAACCATTAGTTGCGTCTGAAAGAAAGTATTTCAAATTTTATGTGTAGATCAATTTTATTCAAATTTTAATGTTAGATCTTCTCGCTTACTCGATACACTAACATCTAACAACATCCCGTAGTGGTTCATGCCAGAGATAAAAATCGCAACAACTTTTGACTTATTTGCTTCATCAAATATACAACTATTTAGCAGGCAACGATTTGACTGATTGATTGATAGAATTTGACCTCTTACGTGACCATCTGTGGGATGTTGTTAGATGTTAGTGTAGCGAGTATGCTTGCAACTCTAATATCCTATTTTTATGAGATGATCATAAATTTTTATGTAGCTGAGATATTGAACTTCAATATGTCATTAAAGGAATTGCCCCTTTTTAATTTTTCCTACTATTGTTAACAAAAAAGGGTCAATTCTTGTATTGAACCATATTTCAAGTTAAGGACTACTCCTTTTATTTCATATAAATATACCATTGCTTCGAAACTTTTTAATATCAAAAAAATGAACATGGATATCGAATATCTTCAACATAATCATCTATCGTGTTCATATTCCTCATCATCCTACAGTATAACTATTTTCCTGTGGATGCATCATTACTGGTTAGCTTAATATAGTTAATTATGAGGACTTTACACAAGATGAAACACACCCTTTAAGCTTGGTTTAATGGTGGCTTATAGGTCCTTAATGGTGGTTTAATGGTTGTTTTTAAGTCACCATTACGTTACCATTAATTGCCTTTAAGTAACATTTACACCACCATTAAGTTACCATTAAGCCATCTAAAAGTCCTTCATGGGTGATTAAATGTAGCTTAATGGTGGCTTACAGGTCCTTAATGGTAACTTTTAGACCACCATTAAGTCACCATTAAGCTCCTTTAAGCTAGACTTACAGGTGCTTAATGTCCAAACTCCATTCAGCTATTATTAAGCTACCATTAAGCCACCATTAAGCCACAATTAAGCAGTCGATATTACTGTTTTTATGGGTGAAAAATTATTATCATAGTGATTTTTCATCACAAATTATAAATGTCGAGTTCACACATATCTTGATTTGGTAAAAATAAGTAAAAGAACGAAATTCAAAATTAAAAAAAAACACACACCACAAACGGGTCGCGAATTCATGACCCTTCGAATAGATGGCAGTTACCTTAATCATTGGACTAATTCCGCTGATGATTTTAAAAGGAAAATATTAAATATTCTTTTTGCACAAAGTTTGTTTTGGACTTGTAAAAGTATTTTTTTGTTGAACGTCTCCAAAGTCTTGAAAATTGATTTATTAATCAAACTATAAACATTTTTATTTATGGATCTTTTTAAATGGCTTATATCACATTAATATTTCTAAACCGTTGTGTTCGGCTTTTAAATTGTAATGAATCCGCTCTGTTATTTGAAGATTAATACGTGTAAGCATTAACTCAAGATTCAAATTAAATTAATTAAAGATAAAACACAAAAAAATCTATCATAGTGAAAGACAGATGGTTTTTTTAAATAATAAAATATTCTGCGGATATTAACGGATTTTGTGTCTTAGATTTAGGCCCAGTGACAATCCTCGTTCACGAGTTACCTGGTATTGTTTACAAATTTTTTTTTTCGAATATCATTTTCAGTTTAAATTCTTTTTGTATCATAATGGGTATCAAAATAATTGTCATTTTACAATGAATCATAATTTTTAATTTGTTTTATGCTTGCATTAAATTTAAATAATTATTCATGATGTATAAGTCAAACTTTGAAAACTAAACATTTTTAGTCAAACTTTGAAAACTAAACTTTTTTTATTACCCGTGGGCCCAGTTCGCTCCCCACCCCTCCAGAAAAAAAGACAATTTTTTTTTCTAATGAGGACATGACCCTATATTCCTGGGAATTATGTAGCAGATTATGTTGTTTTTAACACATGAAATAAAAATACCATCTCTTTTTTTTTTTAAAGTAATATAATTATATTTGGTGTTTATAAATAAAGATAATTTTAGAACAGATTGATTTTCGGTAGTGAGAAATTAAAATATTTCACAGAGGGTTGGCCCCAGCGTGTTATAATATAATTATTTATTTTTTAAAACAAAAATCATAATTATACACAAATAATAAAAACAACGTATGTAATAATAATCTATTTCAGAAAAAAATCATAATTATGCGTTAATAAGATAAATAAGATATCTTTATTGATACTTTAAATGATTAAAATAAAATATAAGAAACCGGGAGGAAGCCCCTGTAAGCTAACTTTATTCTCAGTGACCTAGATTTTGCATATTGAAAGAAATGTTATTTAAAAATTACGATCGAGACAAAATTATAAATTACTAAAAAATAGATTTTGCGTAAATGACATTGAAATAACTTTAAAAGTTAGATCAAAGATTCGATATCAAATGCGTAAAACGTAAAAGTTTAATGAGGTTTGACAACTGAGTAACCATTAAGCTTGGCTTAAAGGTGGCTTAATGGTAGCTTAATGAAGTTTTGACATTAAGCACCTGTAAGTTGCAACTTAATGGTGGCTTAATGGTGGCTTAATGGAGTTAACTTCTTTAAGCAACATTAAGTCACCATTAAGCCACCATTAAGCAATTGCTTAAAGGTGGTCTTTCGTCTTGTGTTAGATAATTATTTTTTTAAAGGCCCGAAATATGGAGAACTCCGATTCTTCATCTGGCGTCGGAATTTCATCAATTTACATTCGCGTATCAAAGATTTGGAGGAAGCAATATGAAAATCATATTTCCTTTTGTATTCAATAAGCCAGAAGGGAACATGCATGTAGAAAAGATAGATTACAGTACGTCCTTGTCTTTGCTTACAGAACAGGTAACACATTGTCTTCGTTTGTAAGGCTCATTTTACTTGTATAATTTGTATTGTAGAAGAACTTGGATTGAATTCTACTAGATGAATGTATGTTTGTGTGTTGAATAATGTCCCTCTCGAGAATTTGTTATTCCTATGGAGAAGCCACCACTTGCCGGTGGAGATTTGCAATTGTTTTCCTATACGCGGCCCAAAGGGCCAATGAGCAGGGTAGGATCTTTTTCGTGCAAACACCTACATCTCTTAGGGACCTCGGTTTATACATTCTCATCCGAACGATCGTTATCTACGTCCAACAGTGGAATTCGAACCGGAGACTTTAAGATCAACTCCTGACTTTCCGACTCTAGTACATATGCTCTGACCACTGCGCCACGAGGTTGACTCTACAATTGGTAATCCAATTTTTACTCATAGCTCGCTCTATATTGAAGAAATTCCTAAAAATCATTTGTCAGTTTTGAACATTTGTAATACAAGTGTACTTCAAAGACCCAAAACGAATTTGAACTAACATATTCATATTGGATTCCAAAAGAGCGAAATATGGTAAGTGTCTCGATTGGCCCCATAAAAGGGATATCTTAATTTTACTTAATATATAGATTTAATTTGTACATCTATATATGCGACCTTTATTGGTCATTTTAATTTTGATCGAAATGCATTCATTTTAGAAATATGACATAATAAAAATCACGTTTTACCGCCATATTAGCATATTTGGAGAAAAAATGCTTATTTTTAAGCAGTTTTTCTTCCAGAAAATATAGAGCGCAGCCTAGAACAGGCTTTGTATTTTTACAAAAGATGTATCTATCCAATACTAATTAGTGACAGAAAAATGTTGTATGTTCTACTCTGCGTTCTATATTTCCCATAAGAAAAAACTTCAATAAAAAGGCATATTTTTGGCTTTTTTGTTAGATAGCAAAATGGAATTTTTTCTCATGTCATTTACAGCTAGTGAGTGCATATAAATGTGAGAAATATATTGGAAATATAACAAAATAAATATCAATTAAACATGTCTGAATGTCATTCTAAAATGTTGATTTTTAGGGGGCCAAAATTGGCACTTATCATACATACTGCTTTCAGGAAACCCTTCAAAAGATGCATAGTGGGTTCCAGTAAATGTTCAACCAAGCCTTTTTCTTTACTTGTAACTACGATATTAACGTTTATGACGGAGAACGTCAACAGGACTGTGCAACAATATATTCAAGTTTTGGTGTACATCAGATGTGGATAGAAAGTCTAAAATTCCAAGGACCTATTGGACAATTTGAAATCTTAATATTTAACCAAATTTAACAGCTCAAAAACTTACGATTTTTCAACTTTAATCACAACCATTCCCCATTAATAATTAACTTCTTTGATAGCATTGGCAGCTGCTTTTTCATTGGGAATATATACGTTAATTTTCTTACCTTGTCATTAGTCATCTACAAATTTTTGTTAAAACAGATCTGATTGTACACACAATCACTCTGAAGTCGACATGAAAAAGATATTTGAAATTTTGATTGACAATACATCTATGTTTTATTTTTATAGACTAGGTCTTCCAACAATTTATTAGAATTCCCATGGGTATATTGCGCCCGGTTCCCTGTAGACCTATTTGTTGTATTCATATGAAGCAGACTTTGTCCAAAATCTTAAAAGTGATTAAAAACAAAACACTTGTTGCAGCCCTCAAGTGAAAATTTAGATATTTCGACGACGAATTTTCAATTGACAGTGGTAATTCATATTCTTCTGACAATAAATGTACTATGTATCCTTGTGAGCTTAAGATAAAAAAAAATTCACAGATTCTGGCACATATGTTTCATATTCGGATATTTTACTTAAAAAAAAACTTAATGTAGCTGCCTACTCGTGGTAAACCGGAAGAAGGAATAAGCCCTTTTGGGGTTTTAAAATTATGGTACATATATCATTAGCAAAAACGTAAACAATATCTACAGAAGTGTTAAAGGGGTGTATAAAAATGATTGACGAAGTTTTTTGGGCAAGGATTGAGATTTTGTTACAGTGTGTAACAGAAAATTGAATCGATTTAAAACACAAGCGCGAGGTCTAATGCCAAACATTTCATATGCAGTATATTTTTACTGGTTACTGGAGGTTATATTGATACTATACGTTTGTGATTGCATTGGTACAACTCCAATATTCCTGATACCTATTTACAGAAAACGAAGCAAATAATTTAGTTTTATGTTATTAAATAATACTTTACGTTCATTCTTTTTATTTGTGCCCAATTGATATGCGAGGCAGATGGGACTTTCGTTTTTGACAGCCAATCTACATATGAACAAAGGTACTCGGTAATAATGAAAAAGTCAACACAGGCTACCAATAGTTTTTATAAAATTTTAGACATAATTCGGCTTGAAAAACATTACGTATCTTGCTTATAATATTTTGTAAGTAGTTATAGGCAACCAGGAAAGTCGTATCATTAGTGGACTTTTACGAGAAGCACTGACTTTTACAGTTGACGTTTACTTGGACATTTAAAGTTGTATCATGTACGGAAATACAGAATTGATAATGCATAAGAAAACCTTTCTTGTGGTCATAGGTATGGTATTAGGGGTACTAACATGTGAAGACAGGATGCTGAGGGTAGGGTCAATGTCGTTTTTCTTCAAGGACAACTTATGTGTGCATTGAAATAACCCGTTATTTCCGTTTAAATAAATGTTGAGCTAAATATTTATATCGTAAAGGATCTACCGTACATAGCCCTTGTGTAAAAGTAAGCGTCAACTGTAAAAGTCAGCGCTCCTCGTAAAAGTCCAGTAGTGGACATGGCCCCTGTATAAAATATATTCAAAATTATATTGAGAATAAAATTTATGTTTATGGTTAGGAAAGGGTGAATAAACTTTGATAAAATTGTTCTTCAAAAGAATTTTTCTCTTTTTAGCTAATTTATAAATATCTTTGTTGACATAAAACGCTTGAGTTATTGAATTGCGATGGGGTACCTGTATATTTTACCCCATATTTCGGTTAAAAGACAGATAACCAATACATTTATCATAATGCCTAAAAATATTTCAAGCATCGGTTGCTATTAATAAAGACAAAATATTAGGGTAAACAAATTAATTATTCTGATACAGAGCTTTATTTGAGTTTTGAACTTTGTTACTTTATTAGTAAAATAAGATTAAACCTTCAAAATTTTCTTCGTTTTAACCAGTTACGTGTACCGTAGCCTAAAAGTATTCAATGTTATCCTTATCCTTGTAATTTATGTTCAAAAGAATTTATTTGCCATGTGCAATGCCGTCCATATAGCAGTCGCGATTTTGTTTTTGGTACAAGAGGGTAAATGAATGTTTCACACCATATCTCAGTTAAGATATAAATCATCTTTCTATTTTTGTGCTTTTGAAGTAGATAAAGTATATCTTAATATAAATCAGAACGAAAATTGCACTGTTAACAAACTAATTCAACGAGTAGGGACATTCCCCTTATTTTCCGATCATTATGAGGAACACAAAGCGGTTGTGACCAGTCGGCAGAGGATACTCACTCATCCATGGCACTTGACCCCACCTCTTATGTTTAGGTTTGTGTTTGCTCTGCTCCTTTTTGTATTGTTTTATGGATTCTTGATCTTGAATAGTGTTAATTATCCTTATATGTTTCATTGACAATTCATGGTTTTCCCTATTAAATACTTTTATGTTTATTAGTCGGTCAAGTAAGAAAAAAAATCTGCTCAACGACATCATTTTAATTAATGTTTATTGTCTTCGAAAAGATTTCAGTTGAAATTTTAGCGTAATACTTGGAATAGTTTTATCAAACTAATCTAAAAATATTTTATTAAGTTTTGTTTCCAAAACCGTTTCAGTGTTTCATCAGAAATACCACAAATATACTTTTAGTTGATCAAACTTTCAAACACAAATGAGGAATATCAATGTATATTAGTTCATCATTTACGAAGGACATATGACTAGTTATGATTCCTAATGGTGTTATATAAATTGCACATAATTCTTCTTCCTCATCAGTTTACAGTAAATGTAATTCTGATAAATATTTATCATTTAATGGGTACGATATCTACATCAAAAGATTTTTTTTCTTTTTTTTTTTGTAAAATTTAGCATTGATGAGTTAAAGCATTTATATGGTATATGAAATAGATATGTTTATGACTTTTCTTTGTATATGAAATTAGTTTGATTTTTATAATGATGTCCTTGTACTCTCCGAGCAAAATGTCTGGTATCTTTTTTCAATTCAGTATATTTCTTTGGTTGATGATAGTGCAACGATTAGTAAAAATTTATATCATTTTTTTCTTTTTTGCAGTTCAGATTGATATTGTAAGTGTATGGGTCTATGAACATGATGATATAAGCTATAACATTAAAATTATCGTCATTTTTGGAACCTAGCAATAAAGAACTATCATTAATTCAAAGAATATCAATTTCTTTCTGTCCCAAGATAAATATAAAGTCATATACTTTAATTATGCTCACGTCTCCATGGCACTCGATCCCACCTTCATAGATTTTGATTCCGAGTTGGTTTTGCTCCTTTTTTGTATTGTTTCGTGAAATTTTGAATACTATTGTGTTTCTGCATATATTTCATTTTATATACTTTACCAATTAATATCTTAATTGGTTATTTAAAACAAATCAAATCAGAGATTAATTCACTTGTTGTCGATAATATAAGTAGAATGATATACAATTTATGCTTCTGAACTCTTGAGAGCACTATACATGTACGTACTAATGCGTATGATAATATTAATATCATATTCATTGAGAATATACAAATGTATGCATGGGTGTTTAATCGCTTTCACTAATATTCTAAAAAAAGTCTTATTTGTATCAGTAATACTAATTTGCTTATTATTTGCAATTATTGTTAAATTAAAAAAAAAATGAATCAAATTTTATCAGACATGATTCAAGTATTCTTGGATTTATAAAATCTCTAAAATGACAAATTGACAATGTGAATTAAAAAGATAAATGGGTAAATTTTACACTTTAAAGTGTTCATTTACAGATTAATTTGTAAATTTTACAGATTTAAGTGTAAAATTTACAGACTAAAGTGTACGAATTTGAAAAAAAATAAAATGTCCAAGTGGCACCAATATGCTTCCGTAGTTTTACACCTGGAGACACAGAAATACATGTACACATATAAAAAGTTAATTACAGTGAAATACGTCGGGAAAAAAGCGAAATGCAAATACATATATCGATTTATGCAACTTAACCAAGGAAGGATACGGAGATAACTAACAGTATTCAGTCTCAAAGTCCATGAAACATTACAAAATAAGAACAGAGCAAAGACAGATCCTCGAAACATCAGAGGTAGGATCAAGTGCCATGGAGAAGTGAGCATCCCCTGCTGATCGGTCACATCCGCCGTGTGCTCCTCGTCATGATAAATAAGGAAAAAATCTGTCGTCAATTTATTGTTTAAATAATGGACTAACGATTGGTATGAAAAACATCAATCAGCATTTGACTCAGGATAAATTGTATTTGCTGACAAGGTCATTGTATCGACATTAAAACTTACGAAATTGTGACTTTAAAAGAGACTGCTGATATTCTTGTTTCATCATAAAATATTTTATCATGTTAAATTTCATCAATTTTTAAAGTGATGTTTAATAGAGTACCCCAAACGATATTATCTGTCCTGAAGTAGATAGTTATATGATGTATACTGAGTATTCCTCCTAGATCCACCCGCCAGATGGCAGTTTGTGCACCATCGTTAGATATCGTACACTGTCCTCCTACAGCAGACCTGTCTGAATATCGCCCATCCACAGCTTTATCCGCTCCCCATCTTGAGGATGAATATGGATACAACTGCCAGGCGGTCTTGTTTAATGCTATGTTTTCTGTAAGTAGAAGGCAAAATAAATAGACCATGAAATCTATATTTCATCCATTGCATGTTCTTTCTCCGAAGCATTCATCGCCATTATCATACTTAGTATGAAAGAATGAGTAATCAAATTCTGTCTAGTAGTTTTATTCATCCAATGAACATCTGTCTAACATAGGGGTTTTCTTTCATTAAATGATTATTAGAAGAATCAAAACATGTTTTAATATATTGCTCGTATATTGATAGGCGAGGATTTTTTGTTATATTTTGATTCTTTAATTCCAAGGTTAATTTCTTTTTAAATTTCAAGAAAGTTGGAGGAATTTTGGTGTGTTGTAGATGGATATATCCGACCTACGATTAAAACTATATAGGACAAAACAGCAAACTGAACGCACGAGTGCGAGTCCATAAACAACAAATTCTGGACCCTGGATACACGAAGGAATAATGAATACACCGTGCAGTAAGTACTTTTCAACCTGTGGGAAAGGCAGATAAAATGCACAATGACTGTGAAATATCCAGAGTAGCAATGGAGGACGCACCCTCACCCCAAATCAATTTATCGGTAAAATGGGCATACTCGCCGTGTTTATCTTTCATGGAAAAGAAATGCGCACATCTAAAGTCAATAATCATTCCATGCATGCAGTATATTAGGTTTTAGAAAATAAAGTCTGCGTTTTCGCGGCTTTTCTCTCTTTCAAACAACATTTCTCAACTTCGCAGATTATTCTGCATCATTTAGGACAGCAAGGACTTTATTTCTAATCTAGTATGAGCTCTAGGATACGGCTGATCGTTTCTTTTATTGAGAAACAAATTAGGTCATCATGTCTCGATTACGCTGTTCTACTAAACACCAAAGAGTAAATTTGTTTACCTCCGCATGGAAAGCAGGCGATTTGAGCTTTCACTGCATTAAAAATAGCCTTTTTATACATATACTAGTATTTCATTGTAGTCAAATGCTATTTCAACTGGACCGGTGTGTTACGTGTTTCTGATTGGACATTTTTTGATAACATTCCTGATATACTGGAGAATAGTGTCCGTGGCATTTATTTGATCTCGTCAATAATCGTGGTAAAAGTCATCATACATGTCAATTCATGAAATAACTTCTTTTCGAAAAGGAGACGGGAGTGGGGACATATATTTACTTTTTCCTGGATTTTGAACAAATTGTTTTTAATTTACCTTCTATCATAACAAAAATTACACGAAAAATAAGATTGTGTATTTGCACTCATCGGCGGAGATGCGAGCTAACATGGTGACCTTTTAATCTGAACGAACGATTCCCAGGACATACGATTCATTACAATGCCGTTGTTTACTTGTTTATCGAAAGATGTATTTGGTTAGGAGGAAGATGCAACCAATGAGATTGGAGTGACCAGAGTTCAGGCGTTTGGATAAATTAGCTACAACAAATAATATTTAACGATTATGCAAAATATTGGAAATTAATTTTAAAGTGCATTAGAAGTTTACAAGTACTCAAGGTTAGAATATTAGTAATTAAAATTCAATTCAAAATTTAAAGAAATTATTGCAAATTTTGTAGGAGTTACAAATATGGAGATGTAAATCTAACAAACCTAAACCTAGTATTAAATGAACGGCCGGGATAGACAAGATTTCAGAGGAAAGCTGAATATTGACTGTCTTGGTTGCCATTTTATACAGGTGAGATATTTTTCAACTTGCGCGGTTTTTGTCAAATTATTAAAATTTTCACATGGCTTAATTTATTTACAGTTACATTTGTTTTATATTAGAACTAATAATGTTTATTATAATGTTTAGTATATTGTAAGAAATTATTTATTGTAATCATAATGATTACAAATAGATTGTTTAATTTAATAAAGAGTGTAAAGCTGAATCCTGACTGTCTTGGTTGCATTTTATACAGATTGGGTAACATTGCCACTTCTGTCAGCCGCTCGGGACCGGAAAGATCCATTGGAAATAAAATGTCAAGGAATTTTTTAATTAAACGAATAGCGGGATTGACTTATCCCGGTACCATCACAAAGTAAATGTTATATAATAAATATGAAGAACTAGAATACGTCATCCTGGTACCTCTTCACGAGTTAACCAGATTATGAAAACCGAGCAATTATCCTTGTTTATTTTTATGAAAAGTGGTAGAGAAAAGGGGTCAAATTGAGAAAGAAGTTAGTTAACCTCTCACTGCGGAATTTAATAAGATCTTGGTGGATATCAAACATATGCATGATCGGCCCAATGTCATTCGGGACTTTGCCTTCCTAATCCTTTGTTGGTTAGGATTTAACATAAAATAAGGCTATAGTCCAGTATGATACCTTCTTTTGGCCTATAAGCTGTCAGTAGAAACATGAATGACATTTCTGTCGGTAGTAACAACTATAAACTCAATTTCCCGGGCTTGTTTGGGATTTCATTTAGTGTATATCTACAAGTAATTCAAAATAATGTGAATAAATTACCTTTTCGTAAAATGTATTAAAAGAAAATGGATAAAATTAAAAAAAAAATTAAAAAGTACTTTCAGTTAGCAAATTTCAACCCAGAGTTTTACTTACTTCTGATGTTAAAAAAAATCTTGAAAATTTATGGAATTTAACATATTTCCTAAATATACGAAAAGTTTATATATATTTTTTTTTTTTGGTAATTTACACTGAGTCTGAAATATTTATTTACGCAATAATTTATATAAAATTATATAAATTATATTAAGTCCAAGAAGGCCATATCTTAAACCGTGATTCATGTACATGGCGTATTAAGTAAAAAAAAAAACTACTGGCTCTTAATTTTATACAGTTTAATATTATTGTATGTATCTGACAGAGATGTATAGTTGAAAGCTATATATAGCAAAAAAAAAAAAAAACAAACAAATTTGCCGTATGTCATCACAGTTGCATCGAAAGACCCAGTGGCCGGTAATAGGGTGTGATATAGCGCATGGTGAAAAGACTGACAAACATCTTCTAGGTTAGAAATGGGATTGAGGATCCCAAGTAATCTCTGTTCATGTAATTAATATTTTTCTTTGTATCTTTCAAAGAAACTAATGCAAGTATTTATAATATAGTATCATATTAAAACATCAATATTTAGAGCATGATTGATTACACCTTTACCTTTAATATTCTACCAAAAAGAGTTTTTAAATTACACCCTTGCAACAAAAAAAGGTAGGCAGGTTTGCGTTTTCATTTGGTGAAATAAAGCCTAGCACAGTATGTATGTGTTCTTTGTGTACGAAGTAAAGAAATTATAGGAAAGCTAAACACGGCTAGTAACTTGTAGACATAGTCCTATTTTGATACAAATGTGTACGATAAATCATTACCGGCCAGAAAAAAAATCTCCGCATTCGTTACACTTGACTGCTCTATTGTATAACGGTGTTCGTGCTAGTTGTCTTGCGTTACCTTTCTATTAATTTTATTGCAATTTTTTTTGGTGTGTTTGTATACTACCTTTCACTTTATTTGTATAACAATTCTTTTTTGTTCATATTTGGACCTAAAACCAGGGTCAGATGACTGTAAAGGTTCACATAATGACATTTTAAATACCGATGTGAAATGAGATAGACATACTTTCCCATGCTTAAAAGTAAGACCCTGAAACATACTGTGTGTTGTGATCGTTGACTGTTTATAAATGTCATAACGCTACTGCATTAAACGTTGCACTAAAATAAAAAAGTCAAGGTATTTAAATAATGCGAGAGAGAGAGGGAGAGAGAGAGATTTAATCACATACAAACAAGTCTTACCATAAGCAAAAATAATATTTACTGTTAATAGCATTCCACCAAGACAATTAAGCATTCCAATTTCTCTGTGCATTTTGTTTGACTCAAGATAATTTTAATCCAGGAAGTAAATTTTAAGTTATTTATAGCAGTTTAAATATCTAAATTAGGTCAGGTTAGTAAATCTATATATATCTTAAGGCCGTCCCAGGGTTTAAAATAAACAAATACATGTATTTGGGAATTTTTTTTATTACGGTTTAGAAAATATTATTATAGCAGTCTGAAATGTCATTTAAGAATGTCAAAGATAATTCATTTCTATTGCTTAATCCAATGTAATGGTGGCACGATTAAAAATTTGAAAACATCTATAATTTTAGTGTTTTACTTTGCACAGCGATAATTAAAGATTTAAAATAAATGAGACGAAACAAGGAGCTGGATTTAAAAAAAAAATAGTTAAACAATGGCTAATTACCGACGGCAAAGGAGCATTTATTTTACATCTATAATAAATTTGAAATGAAATATCAAAAATTATAGCAAAAATATGTTAATAATGTAATATTGTAATATAATAACATTTTAATGACAATGTAAACAAAAACAGAAACACAAAGAAAAATTGACATATAAAAGAACAAAAAGAAAACAAACCCTTTAACTTGAAATATTTATACAAACAAACAATCAAAAATAATGGATAGAAATAAAAAAAAAAAAACAGCCCTATAATGACAGACAAAAGGAAGAACTTTTTACTTTCTATATAAGACAGATTTTGGTCCCATTCTAAAGATAATGAAAAACAAACACTGTAATCAGTTGATAGATTTGCAAATTAACAGTACATGTACAAGTGCATTGCATAAAAAAATAACCACTTGAATTTTTATCACATGCAACGTGATTATATTGTTGTCTTTATTAATAATAGATTTTCTATTTTTCAACATCACGTTGATTCTGACATATCCCAGAATACTTCCGTTCTTCCAAGACACAAGCCGTATTTTTACCATTATAGTTTTGGACATGTTTGTGGACTCAATATATATGTTCACTTGCACTCATGTTCATAAGATGTTTATAATTTTTAACAGATTAAGACGGTCTAGAGTAAAAAATAGAGCGATATCCTGTGTTTTTTCTAATCATAATTTACACATAACTTCTTCAGTCTCATACCTAATAAAACGTGTTATGAGTTTAAATAGGTTTAACACGAATTCTGGAAGCTGGAGACTATATGAAATTGTATAAAAATGTGTTCATACGATTACTGTTGAACTGGTTCCAATAACGTTTCCTCAATGTGTCTTGACTGCAGAATACAAGTATAAATTCACTGCCCTCCATTGGCAACTGATTTCGTCTCCACAGAAGTGAAAAATTCTCAAGAGGGACATCGTACAAGAAACAATATCAATAAGGTACTCGCTAAAAAAAATTATTGTAATAGAATTTAATATCTTGTAAAAATATATATAATTATATTGACATTTATTTTAAACTGTACCCTCAGAGAAAGTATCCACAACTCGCAATAAACAGACGCTTACAAAACAATTTGTAGCTAAATCTATATAGACGATTCTAGATAAGAAACTGATTTTTGTGAATGATTTTTTTCCCATTTATTTCTCTCTAAGAACAGATAGTCTTTGGTGATGGAAATTTTCGATCAAAGCCTCGGGCCCAGTGTGCTGTAAATCTTTGCAATTTTGCAACAATTTTGTTTGGACGTCCAAACCTTGGAACTAAAGAGAAAATTTGATTCAGTTTTCATTAGTTTGGAGCTTAAGCGGGATTGTCTCTTGTTTGCACTGCAAATTTTATTTGAGGAGGTTATTTTCCGCTTTTGTTGCATAATTCAAAGATAATGCTTTTACAAGATATCTTATCTTTTTTTTCTTTTCTGTTGTACGTGATTTCCTTTTGTTATATTTATATTTGTACTTTATGTGTGTATTTATCTAAAAGTTTTTTTTCCTCTGTAGTGCATTGTCTAAAGTGCGATTGCATTTTAAATAAATGACATAGTTTTTCAGGTGATTGTTTGTTAATCTCCATTTTGATCCATAGTTAGCAATATCGACTGTCTGTTTTGAATCTTGTTTTGAGTATTTGGAATCATCGACTTTTCTTCAAAAATAGGAAACTGAAGTGAAATGAAGATTCCAAACTCAAAATGATCCAATTTAAGCACAAAGTAATCTTTCATTCCAGGCTTCAACTTTTTTTCTATTGAATAAAGTATGTGAAATGAGTTTTCTAAAATGAGTCAAATAAGAAAGTCACCCTTTTTGCTTATGTGTAACACTTACTTAAAAGAAACGAGTACCACACACTAATAAAAGCTTTCTTGTCTCAAAGAAATGATCCGTTTTTATTTTTTTTTCTGAATATGGATTAACAATTTCGGTCAGAACAAACGCTTCCATAATAACGTGTCGTAACTTTGTCGTAAAAATTATTTTTCAAAACTATTGTTCTGTGTTCTTGTGTATAGTATGTTATGCATAATGAATTATCTTTGGATTCAAATAAACACAATCTGTTCAAAAACAAAAATAAATGATTTTGTCACGAACATGTCCATTTTAGGCAAAATTGATAGCTGCTTAGATTTGATTTTTTCAGTTGTATACAGAGTCATTAACCTAGAAATGAGACCATTTTGGCTAAAAAGAAAGACCATTATAAAAAACTATATTTTTTTATTCTATTAGATGATGGGCTCAAACTTGATTACATGATCACACCCATAATAGAAGGTTCAGTTGTATTACCTGTATAGATCTTGAGAGCTCTTCTTATGGATAAAAAAAATTTTACCAAAAAACATAAGTGATGACATCACAATAATTATAGGTAATATAGCTTGAAGTTCCTGGATTTTTTTTTATAATCATGATAATTATTGTGTTCTTTAATCTTTGTGTTCTTTTATCTGAAGGTACCTATCTTTTATATACCCAATTACTTTCACGACAAATTCGAATCACCTTAAAGTTGACCTTATGGTTATTTTCTTTTTCTCATTCGTATAATAAATATATATTATATTATCACATCGCTTTCTTTATTTCTTTTTGTAAATATATTTAGTTGAGAATATCTTTTATATTAACAAACATGCTTCCTGAAGTTTTAGCGATAAAAATAAAAATATAAAGGTCATAAATTAGAATACACTTTTATATTTCCATTTCTAATTTGCTTCCCTGTGAAAAGTCTTTTGATAGTTAGCAAAGTTGATTTTTTGATAATTCCCACGGAATGTAAATGAGGTATCTCCAAAGGTCAGAAACTAAGGAGGTCTTATATGCATGCAAATCTCGTGCACATCTGTCTCTTTGTCCGACGCTAAGGACGCCAAATATGCATGTATTTGACGCCTCTGTGTTTGACGTCAGTGGGTGAGGTTGATTGAAATTGGCATTGGAGTCCTCATGTTAATTAAATCTATGTCTACATTTTAAAAGTCTAATTTTATTATTTTGTTTCACAATGAAGTGGAAATTCAAGTCGCTGTCCTTTAACAAAGGACTGAAATACGTGGACCATATGTATGTTTTTCTAACCAAAATTCAATTAAGAAAATTTCTAGGTGTAGTGAATATTCATGTAGGTTTGTTCACATTTTCTACAATAATCTGCCTACTTATGACTGACTGTAGTCTCAGAGCAATATTGTTGAATTTTATCTCCAATTAGCGGCCTTAAGTTTTGTCAGTTTCAAAAATGGGGCTATTTTGATACATGTAACCCTTACTTCGGGCTATTGTGATGCATGTAACCCTTAATAGCGTGGATACGTGTTCTGGATTTATGCGGAAGAAATCTATGAGGGGAAAAATAAAGATCTGATGGTTCACGTACATCACAGCTCTGTAGCACTCATATTACTCATATTACACCCCCCCCCCCCCACACACACACACATTAAAAGCCGTTGCTACATGTATAGACCTCTAACAAACAGTATTTCGATTGCTGAAATAAAAATAGAGGAATTGTGAGCGATGAGCTCACTAAATGATACCCCCGCCTCCATATAGTTATAATGGCAAGTCTATGATTTGCTGTGGCCGGTAAACCCAAATTATGTGTCGGATCAAAAAGTAGGAGGTGCACAATGGCAATATGTAATAAAGATTCTGTGAAAGTTTCATCAAATTCCATCCAGTGGTATAAGAGGAGTTGCGGACAAGAGATGGATACCCAAAAGCGTAACAGACGGACGAAAGGACGGACGGACATACGGACGGACGGAATTATCGATTACTATATACCCTCTCGCTTTTCAAGCGGGGGTAATATAAAACATTTAGAGAGCCTTGATGCGCAAAACTAATGTCAGTGAAAACTTGTTCTATCTTTTAAAACCAGAACTAGTCGTTGAATGGGGATTTTCATTCAAGTTGTTAAGTTAAATGTATTAACATGTATATACAGCAAGTTCTTCCAACTTTTTTAAAATGCTTGAACCATAGAATCAAAGTTTAGTTTGTATATATAATAGTATATGTATAAGAGGGAAATTCGGATCCCCCAAGGAATATGTAAATGCGATATGCGGATTTAAAAGCGCGATTTGCCAATGAATGGCATATTCTAATACGAATTAGGCGAATTATTCTACGGGAAAGTTACCTAAGGTGCGAATTCTCCAGCTTTCTCGCACATGCGTAGCCTGTTATTTTCCCATGGCTTCCGGTTTTTACTTCGCTTAAATTCATTTACTGCTTGGACCTCAAGGTTCACGCAAGAGGGACTCACTGTCTAGCTAGTATAGTATGTCAGAAACATCAACAATAGTTGGAAACAAGGAATAGTTTTTGCATATCGGGCTTCGACCACATCATCATGAACCCTTTGGTGCATATGGCTTATAGTGCGTTCCTGACTATCAATTGTTAATGAGAAAAGGAGTAAGATGCAGTTTTCTTGAAGTCAATATCTCCATACAGTTGAGGTCAGAATATACATAGATATAAGTGTTTCAAACTGTGACAAATTTTATATGTTTAAGCCAAAAGTCAAGTGTACTATGGTCATTAAATGGATACAATCATTGATTTTTCCTTCACA